CGTCGATGTAGACGAGGACAAAGATTTGAGTGGAGCTAGAGCGAACGAACAGCGACGAGTCGGTGGACGAAGGACTGGAACCGAGGTCAGCAAGTGTGGAGCGAAGAGTGCCGCGCATGGCGGAGACCATCGACTGGTTATCTCGGGCTCCACTGGGTCTTAGGTGGGACAGTGCCAGTGAAGCTAGGAGGATGGTGCAGCCAGATCTTCTCGTGCAAACGGCCCTGGAGAAAGCCAGTTGAGAAGTCCATTGCGTGCAGCTAGTAGTCTTACTGTGCTGCAACATGAACTAACATTAGAAGAATCGTCATTTTCGGGGTCCGGGAGAAGGTATGGAAGAAGTCTACTCCCTCATGCTGACTCAAACCCCTAACCACGTAGAGCGCCTTGAATACAGGTGGCGATCTAGGCGACTGCTTCACCTTAAAGATCCACATGCCATCGACTACGTTCGCCTTGGAAAATGAAATTGCGTCGAGGTAAGTGCGTGGATCTCCAAGATGCCATCTTCGAGTCCATGGCTGCTATCTACTAGGAGGCCCACTGCACTGATACTGTCTTACGGTACGTGCAAAGAGTCGGTATGTCAAGGGGTCTCCCTCAGGAGCTAGCAACAAAGCAACAAGACTTCCAAGAACACCAGGTCAAACTGCCTAACCTCTAGGACGTCATAGCTAAGGACAGACTCACCTCTTGCAGACAGAGGATGGGCAGCCACCACGCGGGTGGTGTAGTCAAGGCGGCGGGTGGCGGCAAAGTCAGAGACAGCAGCAACAAGAGCCGAGACAGATGATGGAGGGGCGATAGTGTCCGTGACAAGAGATGCGAGAACACGTGAGACAACAGGACGAGCAGTGCGGTAGTAGTCAGTGGTAGGGTGCGAGGAGGCTGTCAGGGACGACGTAGGAGGTGACATGAAAACAGACTGAGGCGGAGAACGAGGAGGAATAGAACGAAGAAAGACAAAGCGGAGGTCGTCAAAAGGAGACGAGGGACGAGCACGAGGAGGACAACGAGTGGTCCAAGTGTGCTGGACAATCGGAGGAGGCAACTGTGACTAAGGAGGAGGCTTAGCCGGGGACGAGTCAAAGGACCGTGTGCAGTGAGAGGCGAACTTGTTGTGATTAGTAAAGTCCAAATAATTGCAAATTCCCCCCCTAACATGTTTCAGTTCCAGATTAATCATAAAACACACTTCCAATGAATCAGATGAGAAAAGAAAACCATTTGTGATAAATTAGATGAACTCGTTTATGGAAAATCATATTAGCGGTACCTAGAAAAAAAACCGTCTGAAAGCTTAGAAAAGCAGGAAAAGATGTCTAATAGCAAGGGCTCTGCTGATGGGGGCAACTTCAAGTCTTCCGAACCTCCATCCGAACCTCCACTTCGTTTCTGACACGAGGTAAGAAGGCTCTCAGATAGGATTTAGGGCACACTGACCTATCATTGCAACTTAGTGTCAGAGGTTTACTGAAGATCCCCGATAAATCCTAGGGAAGGGTTACAGGCACGTTGGCCTGGGAGATTATGGGAACTGCTGATACAACCAAAGGATCAATTGGATAGGATAAGACTGTTAAGTCTAAAGGGAGACAATAGAGTCTCCGTAGTGACCTTGTTGAGCAATGATTGAAAGAAAACAAGATGATTATAAGATAGGAGTACAAGGGATTAAATAGCAAACTAGCTAGCCATGTACTCTGAGTGGTACATTCCCTTATTAACTGTATTGCATAGCTACAGTAATTGCGACCATTCTCATTCTCGACAGTTACCATGTTGCAGCGATCAACTGTCGCGCGGTTACTGGGTGGTCAAGGGTCACGACCGTTGACTGCCCGCGACGGTTGACCTTCGGATAACCCTTGACATTCCGCATGCTCTATATGAGCTATTGCTGTACTGGTACAGTCATCGGCTTCGCTAGCAGCTGATGCGTTAATGAGACACCTTCGGGAATGTTAATATAACCTTTGGTTGTTCCAACACTCCCCTTCATTCCTGAAGGTGGGCCACGTGGGATTTCTTGGTGATCTCGGAGAGGTTGGCGCAGCACTGGTACTGCTGACGTGGCAATTTCTTCATCAGGAAATCAGCTGCCATGTCACCGGTCGGGCAGTACGTGAGTTTGACTCTCCCCTTGTCGATTTCGTCCTTCATGAAGAAGTAGCAAATAGCAATGTGCTTGGTGCGGTTGACGAAGCCGGGCTTGTTCGCAATCTTTATCGTGCTCTGATTGTCGCAGAGTAACGTGAAGTGCCCGTTCATCGTCACTTTCGCTTCTTGCAGAAGTTCCATCAGGTACAGTCCTTCGCGAACAGCTGCGCTGGCTGCGATGAATTATGCTTCTGCTGATGAAAGGGCGATGGGTTCCTGCTTCTGAGAGTTCCAGGAGATGAGTCCGGCAGATTGGAGTTGGAAAATGAATCCTGTGCGGGAGCGTCTGTTGTCAACGTCCCCTGCGTGGTCAGCATCTACGTAGCCATGAAGCTGCAGAGTAGCGGTGAGATTAGCTTACCAAGACGACCTGGCTGGAAGGTTGTCCGCGCGCCTTCGTCAGTTCCTGTGAGGAGAATGGGACAAACTAAACAGTGACACTGTGGAATCACTGTCGTGGCTCAACCACCCAGACACCAGCCCGATGACATTGGTGTCATTGCTAGGGCTGATCAGTTGGTGCGACGTGGCAGCCTACGATGGGCCGTGATGGCAATTGAAGCCACGCCAGTCTGCATACCTTTTCCAACTATGTTGGAGGCCCTACGAGCCAAGCACTCACCTCGTCCCCACCTGACTGGACATTCCCCACACCTGACCCCCACCTATATGCACTGTTCGCGGTCTTCTCCAAGGTGCTGGGAAGCTGTGAGATGGGAGTTAGAGCTGGCCCCTCAGGAACAACGTTTGAGCACTTGTGCGATGCAGCGCTGATCAACGCCTCAATGGAAAAACACCTACACGATACTCACAGGAAAACGAATACCTGCAGTAGCCGAGCTCCTCACCGCTTCACACCTGATTTCCCTTACCAAGCCCGATGGGGGGATGCGACCGATAGCTATTGGCAAAAGCTTCACACGCCTCGCAGGCAAGACGACCCTTACCCTGACCGCATGCATCGCTCAAGAGTTCTTCCTACCGCACCGGTTCGGCGTGGCGGTCCCAGGAGGTGTAGAAGCAATTATTCACACCACACGCACTTACCTCATTGTGAACCCGGGAGTTTTGATTATGCAAGCCAATCTTGCGAACGTGTTCAACTGCGTTAACCGGGCAGCCATCGCAACATCTCTTCGCGGATCTCCGCTAGCTCCACTTCTGCCGTTAATAGAGCTGTCCTACGGTCAGCCCTCGGTTCTATGCCTGGTCGCTGGCTTTTCACACCCACCTCTCTTGAGCGAAACTGGGGTGTGGCAAGGCGATCCCCTCGGTCCGCTGCTGTTTGCTGCCACTATACACACTGTGCTGACCAGCACTTCGCTTGCCTTCCCATCCGTGGTATGCCTGGCGTACGCGAACAACATTACCTTTCTTGAAGAAGCAGCAACGTGTGCGGCGGCGTTTGAAACCTTCACAGAGAATCTTGGGGAGATTGGGCTGCACCACAACCCAGCCAAATGCACAGCATGGTCTCAAATGGGCCGACAGTCAGCAACACTACTGCAGGGCAGTTTCATCGGTGAAGGTGCTTGGCAGTTTCATCGGTGGCAACGACGCTACTGCCGCGTTCTTACGTGATAGCATTGACACAATGGGCGCCCCCTTGCCCTTAATCGCACGGATGGAGCCGCAGCTGGCATCCCTCCTGCTTACTCAGAGCATCTTGCGGCGTGTCTCATACGCGGCCCGTACAACACCACTCTCTCCCCTGCCAGTCGAGGAATGGTCAGATTGGGGTAAAAGATTTGAGACGCTGCTGACGGCCTGCGGCATAACTGGGCCCAAGCCTTGCTCCGATCTCGCTTGGAGGCTTGGGACTTGCAAACCCCTCGGTGGAAGGTCGCGTTGGGTTCCTTGCAAGCTACACACAGGCACAGCATCTGCTCTCCTCCATTGACGAGTCAACAGTCGGCGCCTTAGTGGAAACACGGATCCAGATGGCTGGACCCTCAACATGGCGCTACTCTTTGACTGGCTGGAGAGGTGCGAGGAGTCACTGCAGGATGATGCAAAGGAGCAGCTATCCTTCCCCAAATTCAAGTGTACACTGTAAATTACAATTTTGTGGTTGAAAAATAGACTAACCGTATGCATGACTTAAGGTGCAGATTCCTCTTGGTCGGGCCTCGGTTTATCACTTGCTCAACCACTTTGCCAGCACGAAGGTGTTGTCGCACACTTTTGCACTCTGGTTTTAAGAATCTGCTGGCGTTATAATGATCACACTAGCTGTTTTAGGAGAATCTGTAGAAACTTCCCTGGTGTCTATGTGCAGGGGAATACAGTACCAAAGAAGTGCGTATGATATCAAGATCTCTCCAAGATGCAATGAAAATGCTGAATTGTGGTCGTAAGAGGTTGGCCTCCTTGCAGCTTGCACCTTGCTGTGCTTGAGCTCATTCAGTTCATTCATACGACTCCACCAACTTTCGTGCCTGCAGGCCTCCACGCAAGGAAAGATGGAACAAAGAAGAGTCGGTGCACGGGAGAGTGGTAAACTGAAAATGCAGTTATACCCAGCACGCAAGAGGATGAAAATAGGTGTACTCTAGGACGATAGTGGTCAGGGTGGTCAAGTAATGTTTTGGACATGAATGCATCTGCATTTATGCCATTGGTGTGGTCATAGCCAATTCAGACAAGAGGAGTGAACATTCAAGGTTAAAAGACTAGTAGATAGAGAATGGAACGAGGGGAGAGGCACAGCTGTAGCGCACAAATGTATGGGAGCAGGCTTACAGGGAAGAGGATGAGCAAGAAGTGCACAAATGGGAGAGGTGCGAACTGAAGGTTGGTTGTGACTCTCACCTAGTCGGGGTGCCACAACAGCCATGTGATCACATGACGCAGCAGAGCAAAGACAGCAGAGCAGCCCACAGCCATGGGGTCAGCAAAGGCACTGTCAAGGAGGGGACACAGAAGACGAATAAGGAAGTGGGAAGGGAGGAGAAGGAGGGGTGTGCGCAGGGGTGTCGTTAGGACTCATGAGGTGGAAATAACAATACGCTCAAACATGGATGTGACTGCAGCAACAGGAAAAACCGAGGCAGTGCAGACAGGCAGGCTCACCAGTGGCGGTGGCGGCCTTGGGAAGGGAGCCTGGTGAGCCTGCTTGCACCGGAAGGGCGCATGTGGAGCCGCTGCCTGAGTCGAGAGCAGAGTAGCCAGCATCACAGTGGCAGGTGAAGTTGGAGGGGGAGGCGGGTGCAGCAGGCAGCACACACACCCCATGGCCGTCGCACGGGCCGTTGGCAGTGATGCCGCAGAACGCCCGGCAGGCTTCCGTGCTGCGCTGGGTGGCGTTGGAAGAGCACTCCGTGTCCGGGGTGAGAGTCAGGCAGTTTCCCGCCACACTCCCCCTCAGCTCCTTTCCTGCCCATGTCACTGAGTAATCCTGCAGGCCATATGTATTAATTTTGCACTTTCCGGCAAATGCATCAAAGGTGTTGGGACTACTCGGGTTGCTTGGCCCACTGGCCTCCGTGGGGCAGACCCGGGTGCCGGCAGCAAAGAGCAGAGCATCGCCGGAGAAGAAGTTGTGCGCGAGGTTGATGAGGGCATGACCATCCGGTACCATGCCCTTGAAGTCGAGGTTGAGACGACCATACAGGCTGTTGTGGCTCACGTCACTGTGGGAGCCATACGCAGGGCAGAACGTGGTGTTGGAGATTTTGACACTAAACGGTACACTGAACGCACACATTTTCTGCAGTGTCCTTATTGAGTGGGCAAGCTGATGGACGGAAGGATGCATGGTATTGGGAAATGAGTAGAGTAGCTGTGTTGGCTCACATCTGGTTGACACACTTGTCAAAGAGGCAGTCTGGCAGGGGCCCGTAGAGAGAGTTGTTGCTCAGCAGGCTGCACAAAGTACACCATGTTTCACCAATCATCACACCCATATGAAATGGTATAGGAACAAAGATGCGGCACCTTGTCAAGGTTCGTTCCATTCCACAAACATCCAAATAAACATGCTCCAAGACTTAACGCTGGAGTACAATGTTCCTGGCTGGAAAGTGCCTAAACAAGGCTTTGCGAAAGTAATCCTCGCATTTCATGTGTAAAAATTCTCACTCCTGCATGACAGCTACTCACACGGGCCACAGCCACTCACACGCACCACAGCCACTCACATGCGCCACAGCCACTCACACGCGCCACATCCACTCACATGCACCACAGCCACTCACACGCGCCACAGCACTCACATGCGCCAGAGCCACTCACACGCGCCACAGCCACTCACACGCGCCACAGCCACTCACACGCGCCACAGCCACTCACACGCGCCACAGCCACTCACACGCGCCACAGCCACTCACACGCGCCACAGCCACTCACACGCGCCACAGCCACTCACACGCGCCACAGCCACTCACACGCGCCACAGCCACTCACACGCGCCACAGCCACTCACACGCGCCACAGCCACTCACACGCGCCACAGCCACTCACACGCGCCACAGCCACTCACACGCGCCACAGCCACTCACACGCGCCACAGCCACTCACACGCGCCACAGCCACTCACACGCGCCACAGCCACTCACACGCGCCACAGCCACTCACACGCGCCACAGCCACTCACACGCGCCACAGCCACTCACACGCGCCACAGCCACTCACACGCGCCACAGCCACTCACACGCGCCACAGCCACTCACACGCGCCACAGCCACTCACACGCGCCACAGCCACTCACACGCGCCACAGCCACTCACACGCGCCACAGCCACTCACATGCGCCACAGCAAGGGAGGCGAGCAGAGGGCAGATGGGAGAGGGCCGTCGATGCTGTTGTTGTCCAGCCAGCTGGGGCACGCACGCACAGCAGTGGCAGCAGCAAGGTGCCGACAGTGGCATGAGGAGTTGAAAGGTCGTTAGGGGATGGCACAAGTGACGCTATCAGTTTCGTTCTTAACATGATCTGAAATGCTACTGTTGCTGTGGTAACATTCACAGTAAGCACTTGCTCGTGTAACCTGTATTGGCTCTACAAAAGCAATATAATCATAAGATGTAAAGGAAAAAGGGACACAGGAGCTCACAGTTGCTCGAGCTTCTGCAGTTGACTGATGGCAGCTGGCATACTCCCGGTGAGATGGTTTTTGGCCATGTAGCTGCGGGGTGGTGGCAGACAGGCAGGAAGGGAGACAGGGAGACATCTTGGGGCGTCTCATAACAAAACTCGATCTTGAGACGTCTCAAATCTCGGCTGGCAGACTATCAGCGAGATGGTTGTTGGCCATGTAGCTGACAGGGTGGTGGCAGGCAGGCAGACATTTCAACGAGGCGTGGCATACGGCATGGTGCAGGAAAGCGCCATGGGGCAGTGGTGGGAAGAGTTGATGCGCTCTGGAGGCTTACAGGGATTTGAGATTGGTCATGGTGAACATGGCGGATGGGATGGTGCCTGTCAGCTGGTTGTTGTTGAGAATGCTGCAGAGCATGGGGAGGGATGTGCACATGGGGAGGGATGTGCACATGGGGAGGGATGTGCACATGGGGAGGGATGTGCACATGGGGAGGGATGTGCACATGGGGAGGGATGTGCACATGGGGAGGGATGTGCACATGGGGAGGGATGTGCACATGGGGAGGGATGTGCACATGGGGAGGGATGTGCACATGGGGAGGGAGGTGCACGTTTAGCCATTGCGAGAAGCGCATGGGCTGAGCGCGCATCGCCTGCCACGGCTGGCGTGCTTCGACGATTTCACACTTGAAGACGGCGGCATTCTGATACGACAATCCACATTGCTCACTTGAGAATGTTCTTTCCACGATGTGTTGAAGGGCATGTGTTGAAGGGCATGTGTTGAAGGTGTCCCAAAGCAAGAAGAGGCTCACATGGCTTCGAGAGTGGTGAGGGTGGAGAGGGAATCGGGAATAGGCCCGGTGAAGTTGTTGCGGCTGAGATCTCTGAGACACAACACAGACGACGCAGTAACAGACCCGAGTGGGTTGGTTGGCAGAGGCTCAACAGCTGGTCGTGGGTGCAGTGCAGTGCAGTGCAGTGCAGTGCATGCACGTCAATGACGCCGTGCTGGCCAGCGCGATTGAGCAATCGAGTAGAGAGTGGAAATTTTGAAAGTGTGAGCGGAGGGAGATATTATGGGAAGGCTTACAGCTACAGAAAGCTGACATTCCAGTGGTTTTTGAGACGTCTCAGAAGATATTATGGGAAGGCTCACAGCTTACAGCGAAAGAAGACTCACAGCTCTAGAACGCTGACGTTCCAGCGTGAGAAGTCTGGCAAGGCGCCTGTGAAGCCGTTCCCTTCAAGGTTCCTGCACAGTGCACGAGCAGCAAATGAAGATTCGAGGCGCTGGACGTGAAGCGTGCAGAGAAAAGTGTGGCACCAGACGCACACAGTGATGGCAGCACACACACAGCGATGGCATGGCAGCACACGCACTGGTTGCACTGCTTACAGATTGTTAAGAGAAGTTGAGGCAATGAGAGTTTCTGGAAAGGAGATGCTTGTGTTGGCTACAACCCTGTGGTGGGATGGAGGCGACAAAGCAGGAGGGTGGTTCCATGCAGCTGTTAGAAACGGAAAGAAGCACCCTCCCTCTTTGTCGTCCCAACTGCCTACAAACATGCATGCATATTCGGGCGCTAACAGACAACAAGTACGGAAAGGTGATGGGGAGTTGAAGACTGAGGAGATGCAGGAGGCTAGACACAAAGCAAGCAGCAGAGCAAGCACATTCCATTCATTCCACTCCGCGTGAGTTTGGAATGCATATCGATTTCAGAAACACAGGTTCAAGCTGTAGCACGGCTCTATAGTTAGAAAAGAATCTAGAAGCAGGTGTACAGGGCTAGAGCTGCGGAACTGCTTACAGTGAGGACAGCGTGGGTAGCTGAAACAGACCGGAGGGGATAGCTCCACGGAAATTGTTGCCACTAAGTTTGCTGGGGGCAACAGTGTCACAAATCGAGGTGGAAGGTGATAGTATTGTTCTGTTCTCTTCCTTGTGCAACGAAAGTCCCAATGTGAATGCGTTCTTTGAGTCCCACTTGAAATGGAATCCTACGGACACATGGACAGACTTGCTGAAGGCTCCTCAACCCAACCCAATGCCCTGCGCGGCGATTCTTCTTCGCCCGCTCATGTCCTACCCACCTTTTTCAGCCCACAGCACTACCACTTGAGGTGAACCCACAAAAGCGAGTGTGGTGGACGAGGCAGCAGCAGCATGCCACTCACTCACATGATCATCAGCTCCACCAGTCTGGTCAATTCACGGGGGATGGTCCCGGTGAATCTGTTATTGCCCAAATTCCTGCCATTGCATGGCGTATGCGATTGCAATATATATAAGTAAGAGTCTTACTGAAAACAAGCATTTCAAGAAGGTACTTGAAGAAAGATGCATCACGATCTGATGAAAATGGCAGCAACAGCTCCACGTGTAGCGGGTAACTGTTAGAGTACCTCTATTCTATTTATCCTACATACACTAGTTGGCTTGAGTAAAGTTAGTACCCAAAATCAAATTGGGTGTACAACTGGAGGCTACCCCAGTTGGGGTTGGGCTCAACCTTGGCCAGTAATTCTGGCCCCTAAAGGTTGGGTTGGCAGATTGCTAGGCATGAGCAAAGGGCGAACCTGAACAAGATCTCTGTGAGCATGCACGAACAGGTTCGCTTCGAGTCGGACCTCTTTTTTTGCATACGAGGTGTTTGATATTCGAGTTTGGAAGTCGAACATCGCCCCGAACGTGTTCGTTTTGGTTCTTCTACCCCCTGTTTTCCAGTTTCGAAAGGGGAGAAGCTGGGGGGTTTAGGGAATTGACAAATTAACATGCTTATTCAAAGAAACATAAACATTTGGACCCACTCTTTCGCAAAGTCGAAGATTAGATGTTCAACGCGGACAGGTGTTCCTAGACGAACCGAACCGAACATGTTTGTCCCAAGCGTGCACATGTTCAGGCTGAACAAATTCGGGCAAAATAAAGGGCCTTGTTCGGTTCACCGAACAGGTGGCTGGGTTTTTGCTCATGCCTACTCCCAACCAACCCCCCTCTGCAAGCTCATCTATGTACACCTCTGGCTTCCAATCCTAGGTCTCTATGTTTCACATTCCCTTGTCATCTTTCACAGATTTTAACAACAACGTGCTTTAGTTTCCAGTGAAGTGGCTGTTGCGGGGCTCCTTACAGGACGGCAAGGCTGTTGAGGTGCAGGACACAATCAGGGAAGGTTCCCATGAGGTTGTTGTCCCCCAGATCCCTGAACCATAACGAGAGGTGGGAAGTGATGAAAACACATCCGTGCAAAAGAGGGTATGGAAACATGCGGCACATTCAGGCACGCATTGTCTTTGAGACACCTCAAAAAACTCATGCGTACGTTTACGAACATGTCGGCGCAGAACGATGGTCTCTGGCAGTTGCATTCATGCACACTACTTGCATGTATGATTGCCCTCAACGAGGTGGGTTTTTGAGGCGCCTAAAAAATGATTGCCCTCAATGGGGTGGGCATGCGCACGACTGGGGCCATGCCAACATGTGATGATGCGTTCATGCACTCATCATGCGTTCATGCACTCATCATGCGTTCCTGCACTCATCATGCGTTCATGCACTCATCATGCATTCATGCACTCATCATGCGTTCATGCACTCATCATGCGTTCATGCACTCATCATGCATTCATGCACTCATCATGCGCTCATGCACTCATCATGCGTTCATGCACTCATCATGCGTTCCTGCACTCATCATGCGTTCATGCACTCATCATGCGTTCATGCACTCATCATGCGCTCACGCACTCATCATGCGTTCTTGCACTCATCATGCGTTCATGCACTCATCATGCGTTCATGCACTCATTATGCGTTCATGCACTCATCATGTGTTCATGCACTGATTATGCGTTCATGCACTCATCATGCGTTCATGCACTCATCATGTGATCACACAGTACAGAGCACTATGAAATGGATGCATCCTGAAGTGAGAATAAAGAAAGGCCCCAGATTTATGCAGGTCTGCTTGGAATAGAGGCAGCTGCAACTCCTGTGACTGCTGCTACATCCCACCCAGGCTAGTGCAAAGAAGTGATATTGAACTGCACTGATAAGATGAGAGATGGGTAAAGCAGATTCACAAGGAAGAAAGGCCCTTCACTGCTGTGAAGGTCGCTGGAACCACCCCAGAGAAGTTGTTACTAGAAAACGATCTGCACAACCAGCCAGAAACTAAGAATGTGGCTCAGATGTTGGGGCAGGCAAGCAGAGTGGAAGAAAGAGAATTGGGGAAAAGGAATGTGAAAGCATTAAGGAGGCTGTTGAGACGGCGGAGGAGGAGGGCACTCACACGTCTATGAGCCATGTCATCTGAGCCACCACGTCAAGGCCTGGGCTGAGGCTGTTGTTCCTGAGGGCACTGTCAAGTCGTTCAAACATGCGATGGGCACAACAAACCACGCTATATTTGTCATCATTTCAAAGTGGCCCTCAGCGGTGTTTTTGTTTGGTTAAAGAGGACAAAAAAAAAGTGTCGTTCAGGTTTTTTTTGTTTTTTTTCAAATCAGGGCATCTGATGGAATTGAACTGAAGTTGCAGTCAAGAGGTGTTTTTTAACCCTTCCCTACATGCTTTCCTTCACTGGCCATTCAAAAATATATATGCGGCAGCTTTTCATTCCTTTATGAGAAAAAGGGGTGTCAGGGTTGGGAAGGGTGAGGATCAACGGCCGTATCTAACAAAAAAGCTGTTGTAATCAACCGTTGGAACGATCTGTTAAACTGCTTACAACAGATGAATAATCGATACCATGTGAGGATGGATAATTGATACCATGTGAGGATGGATAATCGAAAACATGTGAGGATGGATAATCAATACCATGTGAGGATGGATAATTGATACCATGTGAGGATGGATAATCGATACCATGTGAGGATGGATAATCAATACCCTGTAAGGATGGATAAGTGATACCATGTGAGGATGGATAATTGATACCATGTGAGGATGGATAATCAATACCATGTGAGGATGGATCAGTGATACCATGTGAGGGTGGATAATTGATACCATGTGAGGATGGATAATCAATACCATGTGAGGATGGATAAGTGATACCATGTAAGGATGGATTATTGATACCATGTGAGGATGGATAATCGAAAACATGTGACGATGGATAATCAATACCATGTGAGGATGGATAATTGATAACATGTGAGGATGGATAATCGATACCATGTGAGGATGGATAATTGATACCATGTGAGGATTGATAATTGATACCATGTGAGGATGGATGATCAATACCATGTGAGGATGGATAAGTGATACCATGTGAGGATAGATAATTGATACCATGTGAGGATGGATAATCAATACCATATGAGGATGGATAAGTGATACCATGTGAGGATGGATAATTGATACCATGTGAGGATGGATAATTGATACCATTTGAGGATGGATAATTGATACCATGTGAGGATGGATAAGTGATACCATGTGAGGATGGATAATTGATACCATGTGAGGATGGATAATTGATACCATGTGAGGATGGATAATTGATACCATGTGAGGATGGATAATCAATACCATGAGAGGATGGATAAGTGATACCATGTGAGGATGGATAACTGATACCATGTGAGGATGGAT